TTTTAAAGTGAAAGTCTAGGTCTATACAATAACATCTCTCAACAACACAAATTTAAGCTCATTTTTATAATCATACTTGCTCGAACAGCTTAATAAACAGTTGAAATTTGGTGTAAATATATATTTCATTCAATAAGTAAATAAAAAGTTTTGTAGAAAGATATAAAATTATTGAATGAAAGTCTTCTTTGTTTTGCCGAGAGGAGAAAATTACTCCTGTTTCTTCTTTAGTTTCGGTTTGATGATTTTTTTTTTTTGGTACAGAGCTTGATTTTCGCTACTTTTCTTCCAAAATTGTACGAAAGCATGTCACTCCGGAGTGATTATCTCAAAAACAAGCTCGGGACACCCCATTTTCTTTGCATTTTTGAAATCAGCATTAAATTTCAGGTTAAAAGATTTTAAAGTTTCAATTTTTCTGTTTATTATTTACCAAAGTAGTCAGCCATCTTGTATTGTATTTGTATTTTATTTATCTCCACTTGTAAACAATTAAATGATTACAATAATAAGCTAGATAATTATTTTACAATAGTAACATATTGATGGAGATTGGTCAAGGATATAGATGAACCTAATTAGTTGCCCATATAAGGAAAATTAAGAGAAATAGGAATAGAGTGGAATAGGAAACAAAATCTAGGTTATAATCTAGGAGTGAATGATATAGGTGGTAGAAGAATTTAGAAAATATACGCTATAATACAACAAAATTAATATTGCTTAAAGTGGGCACCGTGTATTTGCTGAGTTAGCGGTTCGGAGTTGAGTTTGAGTTGAGCTTATTTGAGTTTGAGTTGAGTTTGAGATGAGTTTCAGTTGAGTGGTGGGAGGCTTTTACCTGGTCAAGAAAATACTTCTAATTCCATTTTCCGTTGAAAATATGCTTCAAATTGCGAATCGCCGAATGTTTACCATTCCACTTCACTTAAGTCTTTTTATCAAACAATTGCCTTACAAAAATTGTCGTTCGTTTGGCCATCATCCCACATCTTTATTATATGGTAATCTCACCTTATTTTGAAGCAAGTGTGAGCTGGTTTTTCGGCGATTTTTTCGGATTTTAAAGCTTAAAATCATTGAAAACTTGCAGTCATAATTGCAGAAAGACATCTCAAACGATACGCCATCTTGGTTGGCAGAGGAAGCCCAATGCTAAAAATACAGGATCCGGCATATGCATGCCATAAACATACATAACATAAACATACATTGTAAAGCGCATTGAGACGAATGTAAAAATCGCTATATAAGCACCACATCATTATGTTATATTACCATTATAATTATCGGGTTCGTGTTCTTCTCGTGAACCTTTTGGACATGTTTACAATGTAGAGTAACAAACAAGCAGTGTGTCCTACCGGAAGTTCCTACCGAAATGTCTCTCTTGGTAGGTAGGTCGAGGTAAAAATATTAAAAACAAGTTAAGTGTATCATCATCAGAATTAGACTGTTGATAAACGCGAAGTATCGCTTTTTTTTTTTTTGTATCGCTTTTGCTTTATTATAATATGGGTGAGTTATTTGGACTAAATGTATGCGAAAAATCGTGAGTTTGATGCTCGATAATTCTAGGATAGCAGATATTCTGCAATATTTATGAATGGCAAACTTAAGATACTAGCTAAAAGAGTTTACTGATCAAATTTTTAAAATGTACACATTAGAAAGCTGCAAATTAAGATTTTCATTTTCCATATACTTTGTCTGTAAAATGGAGTCGCCGTTCGCGGGAAAATCATTTTTATAAAAAACTAAAGTACGAATTAATACAAACAGCTAAATTTGTTTAAAAAATATCAAAATAATTAAAGATAGAAAGGATAAATAAACAAATTCAAAAGAAAAAAAGTCACATGATCATTTAGAAAACTCAACTCAAACTCAACTCAACCGCTAACTCAGTGATTATCTCATCCCCTTAAAAGGTAATGGTTATTCGTTAAAGATTTAAATTTATTTCAGGCACCTTAAGAAATTAACGAAAAACCAATGGCAATTACAACGAGAAATAATTTTAAAAATGAATACAAGATAAATATATAATAAATAATTCTGTAATACAGAGTGATTGGAGGCTGGCTGCCTGCAAGAGAACTGGTGAATTCCCCTTTCAGCTTTCTTCATTAAACTGATTATACATATGACTATAACCTAAATTCGGTTAGTATTAATTTTCGCAATTAAAACAATTATAGGTTCTCGTACTGCAATATTGACCTACTGCCGCCAAAAAAGAGCAAGAGAAAACGTGACCACAGCATGACTCAAGTGAAGTCCAGTTGGACTGTGTCATTATATTGTATCCAAATATGGAATCTGATTTGAAACCTCCTCTCATCCGTGCTGCTGAAAGTAACAATGAAAGAGAGGTAAAGAGACTGCTTGATGAYGGTGTTGATGTCAATGAAACTGATGACCAGGGCAAAACAGCCTTGTTTTATGCTGCTCAAAATGACATTGAAAGTATTGCTGTGTTATTAATTGAAGCTGGTGCTGATGTTGATGTAAAAGATAACCAAGACAAGACAGCTTTGTTTTATGCAGCTGCCAATACAAGTATACAAGATGCATGTAATATTCTTGTCGCATTGGTGGAGAAAGGCRAAGCCTTGGTCAATGCCACGGATATCTATGGTAGGAACCCGCTCTTTTATGCCATAACACATTCCATTCCATTTATTCGTTATCTTCTTGACCATGAAGCGAATCTGCACGCAGAAGATAACTGCAATGTGAGCATTTTAACATGTCTTCTTGAACACTGCTTGATGAAACACGAGAAGCCATCTAATCCTACTTTTCTATCTGAAGTCCTTTCTCTTCTTCTTGAGAGAGGGTTGGAAAGGCAGAGTATYGTTGATTCAATACTTAACCTTGTCTTCTGTAAAGCTCCACTTTTACTTTGTTCAAATGAAGAAGAAACCGCAATTCCAGGGTTACTGAAGATCAGGACAGGTGACATTTTGAGCGCCTTGAGAGTAGCTGTTCATTATGTAGATGAAAGTAATAGTAAAAAGAAAGAATTGATTTTGGAGGTTGAAGAGAAAATAAAAAGTGGCAACATTTTTGAAGCCTTTGACTTGCTTTCTATAAAGTTGCGAGCAAAGCCAAACAGTACTGATTCGGCTGGGAATACTGCTCTCCATTATACTACCGTCCTACCACTGATGGGTGTGCCTCAACAGTCAGTCATGGAGATTTGTGAATTTCTAAGGAAAAAAGGGGTTCATTTCAGTAAACCAAACCACCAAAGTCAAACACCTCTTCTCTTTTGCTTGTCTGCAAACAACTGGAAATTAAAAGGTCCAAGTAATCAGAGGTCAGGAATCAAGACGTTGGTAGACGTTTGTACATTTTTACTGAAAAATGGATCCAAGTTGAGTGAGACGCTACAGAACAAAGAAAACGTCTTTCATTTAATGATGAAGCTTTTCCAGCAAGTGTTCAGTATTCATGATCAAGTCGTAAGAGAGAACATACTTCAAGAACTGATAAAACTGTTGGAAGTATTTGGTGGTAAAGGAGAAAAGCA